ATTGCAACGAATGAGTATCTTTGTTGGTTGGGTTGTAGTCAGTCGGTGGTTGTTTTTCAAATTATATTTTCAAAGAACCAAAATAGTCTGCCTGCCATTTATAGTATTTTTGTTTACTGTCATTAGATGGATACTTGTTGCTGATGTCAGTAACGAAAAGTGCTTAGTAGGCACAATAAAAGTCACAAAAAATGCTCAAAAAATGATTTTCGTTTTGGAACATTTTCATAAAATGTTGATATTTTGCATTGGATGTTAGTACTTTTGTTGTCTTTTTTGTTTTTGGATATATAATACTTTAATGACGAACTGCAGGAAGTCTTTATTATTCTTTAACATACCGAATATGTTTCTTTTTATTTATAGTATAAATATTGAAGAATTAGTTTCGAGACACTTAAAAATTATTTAAGAAGTATATATTAAAAAAATTTTATGGTCTTTTTTGTTTGATAAACAACAATATTTACAAATATACTTAGTGCTAAAAAAAATCTATCTAAAAAATCTTTAGACGCGGAATTATCTCCGAGTGCTATGGAATGTTCGCAGGAAGCCTAAATGATGAATAAACAAAGTAATAAAATTTTGAGATATTCTAAACAGTTATTAATGTTTACTACGTGTTCCCATATACGTAAATTTTCTACCGTATTTTAATAATTTTAATAATCGATTTAAGTAAGTCTTTGGTTTCACTTCAGACTTGTATATATGTATACATATACTATTATAATACTACATTTATACATTTATAAGTTGAGGTATTTTAATATAAAACATACGTTATTCAATAAGCAATAAAAAATAATTTTTTCGTATTCACTTGGCCCAATCCTATATATATATATATTTTTGTAGACTCATTGAAGTATACCTTATAATTCTTCCAACGGTTTTTTTTTTGTTTTGTATGACCCCAATCTCCTCGAAGTGACTTCCTCCTAATAATAATTTTAACAACACAAATAATTCATGCAGTGTATTGCAAAATGGGTGCTAGTGGTTACCTTATTTTTTTTGTCGGAAATATATGCATAATGGTGGAGTTTCATGATTGTAGAACAGCTCAAAAATATAGTTGCGAAAATTGGTTTCTGTTACCCAATGTTCACAGATCGCGTTTAAATCTCTGATTATAACATAAAGCAGCGTTTTCAATTTATAGATAATAACGTTACAGTATATTTTTAGCATATATTTTTAAATTCATCATTTTTGATACTTTTATATGGAATTAATATGTCATAACCACTATCTAGCCCGTTTGTGTAATATTTTAATATATTAGTTGTCGCTTCAAGCCTCGATATCTCCAGAATCAAGCTATATTTGCTCAGAATAGTGAAAGTTATTACAGTCATTATCAAATCGTGTCATTCCAGTAATTATAATTACACACAAAATTTCTATTTTGGTAAAAATAAAGTAAAGCTTTAAAAAAAGTGCTGGCGTAGAACATTAAATTGATTTTTTACTGCTTAATTTTATCACAATATGTTAGGACCATCTGAGTCGTGGTGCTCTCATAATAATACTGACTGACTTGTCAAAAAATCTAATATTTTAGTTTTAATTTCTTGTCATTTAGTAAACACTAATCTCATTTTGCATAGAATCATATATATATATAATGTATGTCATATAATTAAATTACTATATATTTTTTTTATTTATTTTATAGACATTGCGTTCTCTTATATATAATACGATGAACTTCACGCATAAAACTAATGGTGCTCTTGACATAACAAAATAAGCTACTTTTTCGTTTTATAATCGGTCTGTTGTTTCCGACCTTATCATTATTTACTTAACTATTTTTAAGAGTACATACATATGTTAGAATTTTTGAAGACTTGACGTGTTTGCGTAGTAGTTTCACTCACGCCTTTGCCTTTCCTTGCCTTAGCTACAAGCCCACAAGTTTAGATGATTCATACTTTGTTATTGCTTTATTCCTCTTTCGCTGACGTTAAATTTTACTACATTTTATTACCTAATATAAAGTTCAATTACAAATACATAGTACAGTGCAAGGCCATACGTGGAAAATATGACAGACGGTCCGTAGTCAGTCTGAAAAATTTCTTAAATAAAAGTTGTAAAATTATTCTAGTATCTGGCAGTGATTGCAATTTGATTTGTTTTTCTCTCATTTATATATAAACAGGGTGTTTCGTATTAAAGTGTTGTAATGAGAGGTAATTACTTGGTTTAAGACCCGAAAAATATCGGTTTGGTAGTGGTGAGATTCATACATACCCCATATTCTAAGAAAATTCTGTATCTATTAAGCGAAAACCCAGTCAAAATTTCGGTTCATCTAAATAATTGTAATCATATACTTATGTTTAGTTAATTAAATATTTGGTTTAATATACTTAATTAGTATAATTAATTTATTAAGTAATTAATCAATTTTAATGGATTTAAAAGTTATGGTGGCTCAAAGTAGACTGTTTGGAAAAAAAAAAAAAAATAAAATTGAAACTTATGTCTTAAAGAAAATCTTATATTGTTATGAAAAAAAATCAATGTTGAGACAATTCGGATAGTTAGAAACAGATCTAGTGAAATGCAAGAGCAACAAGTTGAAATTAAAATAATGTAAGATACATTGATAACGAAGCAGTGAAACTGCGAACCGGGCCGCAGAAAACTAGTAACTTTATAGATCGCCAAATATATATTCCAGATAGAAAAAGTACTTTTCCTGGGCCTTAATTTCGTGCTTGTACTAAAGTACAGCACACTACTCCAATATTTTTCGAACACTATATTGTGTTCCAGCTATTGCTTCTATGTGTATTTGTAAAGAGTGATAAAATAATAAAAAAAAATAATAGTAAACATAGTAGAGATTTGCTTGCTGTTCGATATACCAATATTATTAAAAGGTTCTTATATTTCCGAAAATATGAAGAGTTCTCGATCCAAATATTAAAATTTGAGAATATTGAAGTTATTCCAGCACCACAATGCTCAAAGACTAAAATATTATATTGAATTGATTAGTAACTGAGAGCATTTACACTGGCTGAACTTTGATAAGAATTTTATGTTCGAACCTATATATACATACATTATTTTCTAATTTTGTCCAGAACCAAAAATTTATATGTTTTAGTGAAATAGTAATTTTAGCCCATATAGAGACGCTGGATTGGTATGTTTACATATACCATACAGTAGATTATCAGTTTAGCTAATATCTGACGTAATAAACCCGCTAAATAACGAACGATCCCATATTTGTAAATAATAAACGCACTAAAAATATATGGCTTTTATGATGATATATTTTTAATATTTTATTAATGTTTCTGAGAGATGTATTTTTAAAGCAACTGATTCACTTTTAAGTCGAAATTCTAAATTTCATTTACATAGCTCTCCATATCTTCTGATTTTTATGCTTACGCTATATTCATAGTATTTGCGACTTTATTAGACTCTGTGAATGTGTCACATCCCCATTTTTACATCTCAAAGTCACCGTAATTGTACATTTCGAAATCGGTGATCTTTTAAATAGTCATCATCGTTTTATGTTTCGAAATCGGTAATCGTTCATATAACTTTCCATTTTAGCTGATTTTTATGCTTACATCATATAGGCAATATTTGTGACTTTGTTAGACTCTATAAATGTACTAAATCCCCATTTTTACATCTTAAAGTCACCGTCATTTTCGAAACCGGTAATAGTTTATATAGTACTCTATATCAGCTGATTTTTTTGCTTACATCATAAAGGTAATATTTGTGGCTCTGTTAGATTCTCTAATTGTACTACGTCCCCATTTTTACATCTTAAAGTCATCGTCATTTTATGTTTTGAAATCGGTAATAGCTTATATTGCTCTCTGTATCAGCTGATTTTTATGCTTATGTCATATAGTCAATATTTGCGACTTTGTTAGACTCTGTAAATGTATCCAGACCTCTTTTGTACAGGTCTAATTAAGTCAACTAAGCTCCATAAATAATTCCTGAAAATATAAATTTTCTTTACATTTTTCTTTTTCTCTTTCCTTCTTTATTCAAGTCAGATTTCGGTTTATTTATTTTTTTTTTTTTCTGCTCATAGTGTTTGGCTGTCTCAAATAACCGATAAATTCACAAAGTATGAACGCACTTTGATTATGGGGGGCGTATATGTGTTCGTGTCTCTAGAAGTGCCACATATTTCAATTATAAAAAAAAATAAGTTAACTCTTCCGCACTTTAGTGTAATTTTCTTATTAAGAATCTTCATTCAAAACGAGCCAGCAAGAGATTTTTTATTACTTCTTGCTTTGCGTTTTTGTTTTTGTATTTTGAGTTTTCTGTTTTGTTATTGTTTTTGCTTTTGGCTGAGTTGACTTTTAATTTAAATTTGACAGTTGCTTTTACGCTGTTATTCTCTTCTTTAGTATTGCAAAAGCGGTGAGATAGGAACAAGTGAAAGCACGAAAGCACGATAAAGTGAAATACTGCGCTCATAATATTTTGTTGATAATGACGGCAACGTCGTGAAAAAAGTAATATCCGTAGAGTTTAAAAAATCGTAAAAAAAGTGTTATTAGTTAAAGAACCAAAAACAAAAAAAAAACAATAAAAAACAAGATTTTATAATATTTCAAATAAATAAATATAATTTTATGTTAATTTAAGTATTTCCAGAATTTTTACTTTATTTCTTAATCAATCAAGATAAACAACGGGCGATCCATGCTTTTTAGTTTTAATATTTCTACGTTGTGATTTGCGCTATAATCTATTCGCTTACTGCAATTTCCGTAACGCCCATAATAGAGAAATATTTGCTGAGTTCTTAATAGGCTCAGTAGCAAGCTAAACTTACTTTCTATTCTTGGAAAAAAGAGTAGAAAAATGTTCAATGTGAAATTAGTCGAAGAGAATCTCTAACAACAAAACTAAAAATTATATATTTTTTTTTACATAAAGTTTATTACACAACTAATATTAAATAGATTTTTTTTTTAATTTTGCAGAGCTGTCTCGAGTTGATCTTTAGAAGCCGTCCTTTTTAAAGGCCTGCAATATAGACTTTATTTAATAAAAGCGCAGATCAAATAAATAAGCCTTATCAAGAGGTTAACAATAGTTTAAAAAGTTTTAAATAATGGCAACAACTCCTCGTAGCGGTGGTGGTGGTGGCGGTACTGCTACACGCCCCAATGGCACATCCACAAACAAAAGTTGCCAATTCAAATTGGTGCTATTGGGAGAATCGGCTGTTGGAAAATCGTCGCTTGTATTGCGTTTCGTTAAAGGACAATTCCATGAGTACCAAGAGAGTACGATAGGTGCTGCATTCCTGACACAAACCATTTGCATAGAAGATACAGTGGTTAAATTTGAAATTTGGGATACAGCTGGTCAAGAGCGGTAAGTATATACGGTGAAAGCTCTCTTAAGCAGAGGCACTCACGCGAATATACTCACGTTAATTGCCTGATTAATAGTGAGTTGTCCGTTTATGAGAATGTTCACTGTAAATTCCTCATTTATAAAAATTAATAAAAAAAACTTTATTGTTTATATTAATCTTATCGTTCATTCTATAGGTATCATAGCTTGGCTCCCATGTATTACAGAGGTGCACAGGCTGCTATTGTCGTTTATGATATACAAAATCAAGACAGTTTTCAGCGAGCAAAAACCTGGGTCAAGGAACTGCATAAACATGTAAGTGCTATTTTAGATGCCGCTCATATACAATAAATCCAATGATCTTTCTTTGTCTCTCATTCTGCTCTGTTTTTTTTTTTTATATTTTATTTTCTATATTCGCATACATAACCGTTCAATTTAAAATTTGTGAAAGAAAGATCATTGGTCTTATAAATGAAAATTTAACAATTCTTCTTCAAAGTACATTTACCCTACAAATTTACGTTTCTCACTTGATTTAATATTTTTCGTGCATATTAACACAAATTTTCATATATCAAATTTCTTTTAAAATGCATTTTGCTGATTCAGCAAATGTTTTAAATTCCATACATTTGAAATATTTGTATAATAGTAGTTTGATTACTACATTTTTAATTTTATTATTGTATAGTAAAAGCATGTAAATATGCTAATGTGGGCCGAGGAATGCATTGCGTCCTTAAGCTATTATAACGGAGCCCCGGAAGTTTATATAAATGAAAACATATATCAGTTATATTATATATATGTATGTAGTATATTTTTATTAGTATGAGTAGGCTTTCATAAAAATAAAAACATAAACGATTTTGTTAGGAATATCTGAGTGACAGAGTCTGACCTACGTATTGGTTATCACCAAATAGGGAACAGTATGAGGTGTATTTATTTTTATTGCTACCCAAATATGAAATCTCACAAAAATAAATTAACTTTAACTACAAATGAATTATTGAAGAAAGAATTCAACAACAATACTTCCTTTATAAGGTCTTCAAATGTAATTTAAGCTAATCGCGATCCGCTTCAAAACTTTCAAAAAATATATTATATCGACCTTACTATTATACATATTATACGCATTTGAATAAAACAAAACAAAACAAAAATAAAATTAATAATTACCAAGCTACTCAAACTTTTTCACTGAGAATAAAAATAAAACTATATTCGCAATCTTCTTCGTGGTTAGTTTCCTCGGTATTGGTTTTGAAATCTACGTAGGTACTCTAAAAGCAGGACATGAATCGGTTACAAGACAAATAATTTTGGGTAGAATGGGAATGAACAAGTGGTTGCTGCAATATGTGAGGGGTACGAAGACTGGAGAGTAAGAATAAGGTTACGTTCTTTATTGAATTTAGCACAGTTAAGTTCTTACGAAAATTTATTTTTATGGTCTTCATAAAGGTATTCAGCGCTGATTGAAAATATGCTACGTTTTCTAGGAACCTCATAACGCTTTCAACAAGTAATATATTTCGTATATCATGATGGATCCGTAGGGTCTAGAAGAGTGCCATACTATTTTAACCAACCTTACCTTCATTCAATATTTTTAATTTATTTAATCAAACTTGTTATATGTATTATATATTCAATTGTTTTTTTCTTTCTGTTTTGAAGGCCTCACCGAATATTGTAATTGCTCTTGCTGGTAATAAGGCAGATCTATCAAATATACGTGTAGTTGAATATGAGGAAGCAAAGCAATATGCTGAAGAGAATGCATTACTTTTTATGGAAACATCAGCAAAAACTGGAATGAATGTGAATGAAATCTTTTTGGCTATTGGTAAAAATAATAAATAATTAAGTTTTTTTTATTCTTTAATTAATATTACTTTTCTTAACTCCTTTATATCCTTAATATAGCCAAAAAATTACCTAAAAATGATGGAGCAAATAATCAAGGAACCGCCGCAGGAAGAAGGCTAAATGAGAATGAGAATAACCGACAGACGAACAATTGCTGCAAGTGATGTTCTTTTGTAGGCAAGTTTTTTACAATACGTAAACAAAATACTGCAAAATAAAATAATATTTTAAGTGTTTAATTGCAAGCAAAAATAAAAATATTATAATTATTAAATCGCGAATATATATATGTATATACATATATATATATATTATTCACTGTTAATATGTGTAACTGAAATGCATTTCGTTAGAAAAAAATAAAATTTAAACACTTATGCTCCGGTTTTATTATTATATATTATTTAAAATTAAATAAATAAAATGTATTGCATTCGTTTAGGTGCATTTTTTTGTAAAATAAAATTCGTATTTTTCTTTTCACACATAGCATTTGTTGCTTTTTATAGTTTATATTAAAAATTGTTCTCAATATAAATTAAGTTATTCTCCTCTTAAATTGTACTGAAATCAAGTTAGAATAATATACATAAGTTTAATTCTATGTCACTTTTATAGTTAAGTTGCTAGTTTATAGTTAGTAAATATTTAATATTTTTATATTCTTTAAAATGTATAAAGGTGCATACAAACTCTTGTGATACGATAAGATACACAATATTTATAATCACTGCAGTATGTGGGATAACACAAACAGATGCTATCGATATCATATCGATCATATCGATAAGGCAGTCAAAAGAATTGATCGAACAAAAAAGTTGTTAGTGGATAATTAGGTGCAGAGGAACTTAGTATATACAAATTTAGTAAGATATAAATATTAAATATATATAGATCAGCAAAATGATAAAATTGCATAGTTGTTGTAGTTACTTATCGGCTCCTGGAATAAGGAATAGCGTCATGGGTGGCAGTAATAGTATCTTGTTTGGATTTAGATAGAGAAACCTTATTATACTAATGAATTGGAGCTATAAATCGATAGGGCTCAGATTATTATGTGTGCTGAAGAAAGCGAAAAGATAAGCGACGTCATTAGGTGTAAAATTGCAGTTAGGAAAATAATGTGGGCATTGTCATATTTACTAGTAAAAACCGACAATTTACCAATGTAGCTATGTCTACATATCAATTGAATCATGACAGTTCTTGCTGAATGTGTGAGGCGTTTCGCATCAGAGGGGGTACTGTTTAGAATCTGGTTAAGAAGCAACTATGGTTGCGAAAATTATACTGCCTTGTTATGGTAAGCTAAAAGTCGTTGTCGATATATGACCTCAATGTTATTATATCTATCGCGATAGGTGTTAATGTATTTTTAGTACCGATTGAAAGAATAAAAGGGTTAACGTCCCGAAAGTACTTGTCTACAAAGAAGACTAATCATCGGTCGCCACCCCAAACAGAAGCAATAAATCATGCATATGTTTATAGACTTATTTTGAAAGTACCCTACTGTGTCTTACTGTATCGTATCTATTTGTGTTTATGTCGTTTTTTCAACTCACACGGGTTTGTACTGTAACTTACTGCACCGTATCTATTTCTATGCCTCTTTAATAATTTGCTAACAATATTAAATATTTTATTAAACATATTAATAAATAATTTGTATTGTATCAAATTTTCTTTGGTTAGTAATTTTAAAAATGTATACATTGCTCTCGAGAACGTGCACGCTGAAATATTTGAACATTTATATAAATTTATTACGGTTTACGATCTCGACCGATGTCTATATATAACATTTCTAGATTGTAGTATATATAATTTTAGTTTTTTTTTAGTTTAAATTGAATTTTAAAAAATAATTTTCTTTTTTAATATTAATTTTTTTATTTACGAACTCTCAGTAGACATAAAATTGTTATATATTCTAGCATTTTCCTCGCAATCTATTAAGATATTATGTGATATATTTATTTTTAAATATTTTAACGAGTAGACTTGAGTAAGTTTTGTCCGACCTCAATGCCGACTTCTTTTAGTTTTTGAGTAATTGGATTGAAATATATATCCCGAAGTTGCTTTGTAGATTCAACTATTTGAACTGAACTTTATTTATATACTGTTTTAAGCTGTTTAGTTGAAAATGGGTATATAAAGTACACAAATGTTTTTTTTCATATGAGCGCCCAATTTTATTTAAATCTGTTTAGTTTTAAATGTTTCAGTAAGTTTTTTAATTTTTTGATGTGAATAATATTGTGTTGAATAATATTTTAAGCAAATAATAGGTTGTTATTGTACTGAAAACTAGCATTTTTTGATTTACTAGATCTATAAGTCGAAGGACTCATGTAATTTTTAGGGAAAATTAATTGGTTGACGTAGATGAGAGTAATGCTTAGGGAAGCAGAAATTTTTTTTAGACAACAATAACTAAATTACTAAGGGTGAGATATCGTATTAAAAAACTTAGTGAAACGCAATAGATCCATAGTTGTTTTGCATAAAATCACACATAGGTTCACCCATAAATCACACCTAATCAAATAGTATAAAACAAATTTAAAGATAGTCTTTATTAAGGATCTATACTTAATTATTAAATAAGCGTAATATTTGGCCGATTACATATTTTACATATTCATTTGTTAGACTTGATAGTGGTTAAATGTGAATTTTTATATTTTTGAATTATAATACCATCAATAGATTATTAATATTCTGTTAATAAGTAGTATGGGAGTGAAATTAATTTTCACTAAAAGGTTATTTCCAATGCAGGTCTAGTCACATGGTTTCCCCACCTAGCATGTGACTAGACTAATTAAAGGTTAGCTTTAATTAAATTTCCTCCCATCCTTAATCCACCCTTGTTGTCGAACAATCCTCTCTCTATTTGCACTTTCTTTACCCAATTTTATTCTGATACATGTATTCGTGTTTGTAATTTCTTTGATGTCATCTGTCATATAGATCACCATAGGTTGGCACAACACCAACAACAACACAACATATTACAGCCTATTATTATTACTTACTTCTGTTATGTTGTTGTTTTGATCCGAAAAGATCTGTTATTTCTATCTCTATTGAGGTATATATTGAAAGAGGCAAGCTGTAGTTCTGAGAAATATACCCATTTGTTTCTGGAAGCAAAGTAGATAGCTGGGGTGATCTTATATTAATATATTATTTGATAATATACTGGTTTGAATTAATTAGTTTTAAAAAATTAATAATTTTATCAACTTTATCAAGAGAGAGGAGTAGGACGTTAACACATGGAAGAATGTGTTTTTAATACAGTTCCAGATATATTTCTCTAATATATATTTAAGAAGCGATGATGTGTATGTAAATTTGCTTATGGTTAAAAAAAATATTAAATATTTTATTATATTTGCTTTTTTACATTTTACATTATATATTTAAGAATATCATATTTTATTAAGTTATTAAGTCTTCATTTTTATCATTAAATGGCCTATAAAATATTAAAGTTACGTAGTCTGTTATTTAATAATTTTGTTTTTGAATATATAGTATTTGTATATTGCAACTAGTCTTTTTAATTAAATAATTAAAACATTAATGTTTTTAAATAATTATTAAATAATTTTTTTCGGGCAGTTATTTTGTATTGACTGTAAAAATTTTATACCGATTAACACTAAAGCTGAAGGACTGATTTGTGTTCTTAAAGATAAAATGGCAATGATTATCAAAGCAGGTTCTCTTGATGTATTGATCAAGAATATGTATGTTTGAATACTTGGCAATTCAAAGTTCTATTTGATTAGATTTACAATTTAGATTCTAGCTTCTTGACAAACAAACAAACGGACAGGCAAATAGATGGACATGGACTAATAAGGAACATGTGTGGTATTTTTATTTATCATTCCATGTATGGTATTTTTTGAAGTTTTTGTAGCATGTAGAGTCATGATGCTTTTCTTCATGTTGTGAGAACCGAGTAAACTATAAATGGATATCGCCAGAATGATGTGTGTCAGCATAATGAATAGAAATATACATTGTTTATATGAGATCCATGCCGTTCCTTCAAAACCTTAAGATGACCTTGATTAGTATATAATAATTTATATGTTTTTATATGTATAATAATGTATTATAATTTTTACGTATTTCAAGTATTCTATATTATTATGATAATACATTTCGTTAAATGCATTTAAGGTTAATCGTCATTTTAATCAATATAAGAATTGCTTATACGGGTTTGCCACTAAATGACGTATGTGGTTTTTTCTTAATTAATCGTTGAACGGCTTTAAATCTAGAAAGTTTAGGTTTAAAGCCTAAAAAAAACCAAATATTTCAACGTATAGGATAGCGCAAAAATTGCTCAAAATATTGACATTAACCGAAATTTGGAGTATTGGAATTTCCCATTTTTAATTGTTTTATTATTTAAAAGAAATTTCTTTCTGTATTCACAATTATGTAAATTATTATATTGATATTTGCAATTAATTTTTAAAAATTAAATTCCTGATTTAATTGTAATATATATAGAGTTTATTGAATTTATCTAATTGAATTCGATTATTTACTTTATAAGAAATTTTTTATTTAAAAAAAATCAAAACCACAAGTCTATGGCGTGTTTTTATAATTTGCATATTTTATCGAAATTGTTATATTGGATTTTATTATTTTATACATAATAAAATATTTTATTTTTAAAAATAATATTTAATATTTTTTTATGATAATATATTTTTTTGTTAAATTTATTATAATAGGTTTTGCTATGTTATACATTAAAAATTGTTAAATTTTTTAAAATAATATATTTTTTATTCAATTTGTGTTATTTCATTTCATTATTTTATTCATAATAAATTGTATTATTTGCAAAACAAATTTATATTCATTATTTTTCGTTTTTATTATAATTTATTCTTTTAATCTCAATTAGTTTTATTGAATTTAATTATTTTATAAGCAGTAAATTATTTTAGAGGGCTCGAACAGTAATAAAGCAACAACAACAAAAATTGTAATTATTTTTTTGAAATTTGGGTGATCATACAACGTTACTTCGAGTATTGTTATATGCTCATCGTCAGTGATCTTTAGGAAATATTCGAATTTTTATTTAATTAGTTAAATTATTAATTTATTAATCAGTAAATTAT